ACCGGTAATTGACTAAAGATATCTAACTAAATCTATGACGTGTTGCAATGCAAATTTTCAAATTAGGTAGTATTCACATTTGATAGACCCTTACTTTATAAAAAATATGTTGTATATATTTCAGTAATACTTAATTGTTTTAATTTAGCGTCAAGCAGCTGTAGCCTCTTAATTAACGAGAGAGTTTTTTCTAGACTTCTACTACTACCTTACTACTAGTTGGTGTTTCATTTTGAAAATTGTCACAGCTTTCTCTTACAATACCGTACCGTACCCACGTAAAGGCCCAAACTAAAGTACATCCTTCCTTACCTAAAAAATCTTTTCATACCTGGGTAGCTAGATTTCCTACTTCTTACTATTAATTTAATTTCAACAGAATATTATTCATAAACGAGCTTTAATAGCTCGTTTAAGTGTAAATAAAAAAAATGAAAATTGATTAACAACAACACTAGAAACAGAAACAAGATCTGTTTTTTTTACTTTCGGATCGGGACTGTGCTAATAGAACAACCACAATCGCTAACGCTAATGTACTTTAATAACTTAAGAACAAACAAAGTAAATGAAATACAATATTTTAAATTCAATGGTATCGCTTATCTTTAAAGTAACGAGTATTTAATTTTCGAGGCGTCAGGTGCTGCAATAAAAATGTTATGGTATTGAATGGGAGCGGGTTGGTAGGCGGTAGGTAATTGATTACCGTGCCGAACACGATATCAGTTTATCGGCTCATCTCAACGTACGCACAATGTCCAATAAACTAGCTGATGTTATCTGTCGCTGTAAATGAATCAGTGTTGGCCACTCGCATCGAAACTATACGCAGGGGACTGGGTGATACGTTATGTATGCTGATATTGCTGATATCATACTACGGCTACTACGCGCGACGCTTTGAAAGTTTTGAGAGAATCAAAAATGTTGGTTCGATTTTCGATTTATGTTTAAAGTTAGAAACATTTTCGTGTTGTTATGTTCCAAAAAGTTTAGATATAGTAATTCAAATTTATACATTAGGATTATGGTTATGTCTTAAATAACTACGTAAAACTCACGAATATTGAACTACATACTTTCTTGAACATTGTCGTTAAGTCGCCTGCTGATCAGTATTTTAACATTCATTTCGTTAAGTGTGTGAAAGTTCACTTCAAACTAACAAAACCCATACCATTCCTTACCACACCAGTCCAATACTCAAACATGCGTTAAACATTTAATAGCTCCTTTTTCATTCGAGTGGCTACGTGGCTAAGTAGGTATAATCTAGAATGATCTGCATACATTTTTCTAGACAATTTTAATTCTGCACCGCTTGAGAGCAGAGTTAATAGTCTTTTCTTGAATAGGGATGTACCATTTTTATGTCCACTATGATTTTTCATCAACCGAATTGATAGAAATTGACTGCCTCGGTGCTGCAGTGGTACCGTATGCAATTGCTGAGGTCTCGGGTTCGATTCCCGGGTCGGACCAAATAATTGTATGATCTGCAAACATTTGTGGTGTGGGTGTTTCCTGTGTATAATATGTACGTATTTACAAAAAAAAGTATTTAAGTATTCTATCAGTCAATCTAGCTTTCATAGTACAAGCTCTGCTTAGTTAGAAACTAGATGGCATTGTGGGTCAGATGTCCGAAAATATTATATAATAGAATAAAAAAATATCACAAAATTGCTTTTGTTCCTCCAAATTAAGCTTGAGAAAAGTGTAAGCACTGTAGAGACTTGACCAACCTATTTGTGAGCACTTGTTCATAGTACTAGTATAACACAGATATTAGTACTAAACGATAAAATTATAAAACAATTATCACTTCATTAATTAAGTTTTTCATAAATTTTAGGTTTAGTCACTGTTATCGACTTAGATATGCAGTTAGTTCTAAATGTAGGTGTTGATCCGTCTCTGCCAGAAAAGTAAAATAAATCAGTTTTGAAACCTTTTGTTTTTCATTGTACATAAAGATGATTAATTATTGATGACACAATTCAAAAGGTAAGTATATGTTCGATTATTGTTAGACTAAAATTTATTATAAATTTTTAATACATTAGTGCTTTCTGTGTAATGTGAATGAATAGGTATATATTTTCTGTTGAAACTGTTTATCTAATCTTAACTAGATGGCGCTAGACGCAGAAAGCTAATTAAAGTGTTAATTTAATATAATTATTTGTCTGACAGCAGATTATCTAATTATTCATTTATAGGTACGTCACGTCTACAAGTGGTCTTCGTTTTGAGTGTAGTTATTAAACGGAGGAAATTATTAATATTGAGAGAACTGAAAGTACGGTGCCAGATTTAAGTTTCCTTCATAAGGTTTTATTTTGGTATTGTAGGGTCATGGCATATTTTTGACTTGCACATAATGTCTACAGTTCTGAAAGCAAGGGATAGTATTCTATCTTAATTATTATCTTAACCTACGTGCTTACCTTTATGCCAATGTATGTATATATCACATTTCCTATTTCACTTTGAACTTGTGTTGTTTATAGCTAGTTTAGACGAACTAACAGCCTTTAGCTAAATCTAGACTAATTATATATATAATAAAGCTGAAGAGTTTGTTTGTTTGAACGCGCTCATCTTACTAACTACTGTTTCGAATTGAAAAATTATTTTGGTGCTGTATAGCCCTTTTGTCGAGGAAGGCTATAGGCTATATAACATCACGCTACCACCAATAGGAGCCGCGCATCAATGAAAAATGTTGCAAAAACGGGGAAAATTTATTTATTTTAAGCGACGCAGACTAAGTTAATAATATACTTACGTCAATAAAACAATTTGCCAAATTCTATCGGTACTAACTTACAAAATTTTAAACTTTTGTTACCAGTAGCAAAAATGGGCGAGAGTGCAAAACTGTTTGGATTCACAGGGATTTCCTTTCTTGGTATCCGTGGCGCCGGCAATAAGACTCCGTGACGGGACAACGTACACAGGGTCCGGTTTAAGTCAGTTCAAATACGTTTATTTTGCGTGAGAGTATCTACATGTGAAATAAAGTGGATGACACATACCTAATTCTCTTTTTAAATATTCAAAATTATCTGCGGTATTTTAAGTTTAAATATAAAGTGTTTTGTGTGTGAATTTTTTTCTCATTTTAACATTAGCTTACACTAGGTCTGCAATATGGTGCATTATATGCACGAACAAGTAATGGTGAGTACAGGTCATTATAACGACATTACCGATTTATTTCGTTACACACGATTACTCTTGTATGTTTCTTTACTCCAAGTTTCTAAGTGAACACGAAACCTCTGCAGTATGCTTACCTGTTGAATATGAACGTTAAAATAATAATTTACTCTAAGCGGTGATTTCCAAAGCGATTTGCATCATCACAATGCTGTTAGTCTATGGCTGAGAGCTTTATGATTATGCGCTAGGTACACTTCTACCGAGCAAGACTTAAAATTATAAGTTAAAAACAACTTTTACAACTTTCAACTCAACTTAAATAATTTTTAAATCAATGTTACAAGCGTCAAATGCAATTTAAAGGATATTAAAAAGTTAAAAAGCACTGTCTGTTAGATTAGTTAGTTTAGCTTGTAAACTATTTTGAATAGTAAATGTTTCTATATTATCTGGGACAAGGAAATCGTATTATCCTTTGAAATAGTAGACAAAGGGGGTTATTAAACTATACACACTAAAATAGATTAAGTTTTAAACTTAATTTATTTAAGTGTATTTTAACTTTTTAAAATCCTTTAAATATCATTTCTTATTATAATCACATAATTATAAAAGAAATGATATTAATAATTTAAACAAAAGTATACACATATTTATGTAAAGGGCTAGTGAAGTTCATCGCCCCTACGGACGTTCAGAACTATAATCGTATTGAGTATTTGAATTTCATTAATCATCCGCTCAAAGGATATTTTTCGAAATGGAAGTGCACTCCCGGTTAAGGCAATCTCCTATGGCAGGTGCCATAAATTGTCCACGATGGATGAATGCCTCCATATACTCTTTAAATATTTATAAAGGAGTTTTTATATTCACGCATGGCCACGTGTCCATACAATTCTATATCTAAAAATATCTTTTATATTCAGAATCTGCACAGCACTTTGCATAATACATGCATTAAGCAGTGTCGCGTTTAGAGCCTGCACTTATTTATGAATGGGTATCTCATACTTTTCTGTTTTTATATTTTTCCGTTATCGTGTGAATACTTACCTTATCTGCACACTATTTTTGTTATGTTCGTGTTTTACTATGGCGTAGAACAGAAAAAAAAACATTTTTTGTGGGATAGCTTCTCAGAATTTTCTGATTAGTCCAAGATTATAATATGGAACTGTCAATATAAACAAATTGAAGACGTATCTGCATTTCTTTTTCTAAAATGAACTTTTACTTTATTGGTGCTCAATATTGATCGTTATAATTCCATCGTTAAAAGAAACACTTCAGAGAATTTTCTGCAAAACTAGATGGTGCGAGGTAAAGTAAGGCTTTACCTCCTATATTTAGTTTTAAACTATTTAAATAGTAGCTAGTTTTATTAGAACTTTCTTTTTCTGAACTATTTTATATTGAAGGACATTTCAGTAATTGCATAATAAAATACGCAAAGAAAGAAGGGATACTCTTCTGGAGGTAAAACAAAAATTAAACATGTTTTAAATACGTTTTACCATGTCTTAATTTTGACTTCCAAATCTACTATTTAATGAATATTTTAAATTACATCAACTGCAATTGTCAAGCAGTATGATGTCTTGCATTATCATGCTGCTAAAAAGACGAAGTTATATTTTTTAGAGTTTTAAAATCAAATATATGTACGTCATTATATGACGATGGATATGTTATACATATATAATGATTTTTACCATGAACTTTCCATTAAACACTTACCTTACACAATTCTGTCTAACATTGTCTACATTTTTTTTAATAAGTAAGGAGTCAAAGTTATCATTAGTAATGAAAACAGAAACCTTTTCTTAAATACTATTTATTGGTATACAGATGGCATGTGCTATGGCTCTCGTAAGCCTTCGGCTCAAGCGTAGTGCAGCGGTGTCTATGCGCGCGCGTCGCCCATACTTCGCGCACTCCTCGAAGACTGTCGTGTTGCACGATTCCTGCAACGTGATCATAACGTCACACAATACCCTTATTTATTAGAGAAATATTTGAAAACGTGACCATATTACCGCTAGATATTATGCAGTACAGTTTAGTTGGTCTCGTATTAAAACGTGTAAGGGAGTAGCTAGATTGTCTACTTACACTACATAGAGGGCTAATAGTAGGGGAGCCCTAGAAGGGATTTCGGGATTTACTCGAGCGTTTCAGGTAAGAAATACCTTACACCCAGTTGAGTACCTCCACCATACCTATGAGTCCTACACATAAGGGTAGAGGGGGCTAAGGCATCCCATCAGATTAGTTAAAAAAAGATGGTCAGAAAACTCGAGCGTATAAGATTAAAGTAAGTTGAATAAATTACATACACATTCGTGTGTATTTAAAAAATCAAAGTATTTCAGCGTGACATAAAGCAGTGGGAGGGTCACAAAGTTAAAAAAAAAACTTATGACCTTGACATGTTTTTATTTTTATTTTGAAGCAAACAATGCAAGAAATCTTCAAAAGAAAATTAAAAAAAACTAACCGTCGAAATTAAAATATCCTAAAAAATATCGTCAGACTTTTTTCTAATATAAGAGGAACATCAAGCTGAACCGTCTGTATATAATAAAACACGAAGCGGTATTTCGAAATACCGTGTTTTCGAATTTGCAGTTTACATTTTCGATAATTCGCTACGAGCTTGTGTTACTTTAAAATCGCCAGTCCTTTCAATGGGAGCATTTTTGGCGTCCAAATAACATATACCCAAAATATCTGATGCGCCTGAATAGTTTTTTTCGATTTCCACCCATTACATTTTTGAAAACCTGTAGAAGATTTTCCCGTACCTTATAAAACTGTTATTCATTCTATTACCTAATCTTTAGTAATAGAATGCAATAGGTCTCTACGATTGTCTATGCAATAGTCGATTCTAAATGCAATAGGTCTCAATGACGCTCGAGTAAATCCACAGTTAGCATCATGGGCTCCCATGGGCTTTTTGAGGTTCTTTATTACACAAAACCAAACCTCTACAATGCTAAATACTTCATATGAGATAGCACTCTAAAACAAATTAAACTAGAGATTGTCTTGTGATATATACCTTATAATGATTAAGCTGAACTTCTTTAACGGGCGATGACCAGCCTAGTGGTGATTGGACAGGGCCGATGCTTGACAGAGGGTAGTGGTTGAATGCAGTCAATACTTTTTTCGTTGACATCCAGCTCTTGCTGTACATGCCAAATGGGCTTATCTTTGCGGAGCTCACCACATAACTCACTAGTTTGGGTGTAGGTAGTTTCCGTCCACACCTACTTTTGTACTTTGCATGTAACACCTCGTCTTCTTCGTTTAATTCGTTATTGATAGTATCTATGTTTGAATTTGAATCATATACTAATTTAATATCACCTATTTCTAAATTAGGTGATACTTTTATCCGTACATCATCACGTTTATCATACGTGTCATCTTTTATGCCTTGAGATTTGATCGTTTTGTATTTATTAACATCTTGCATGAAATCAAAAAAGAACACATTTTTTATCAAAATAGATGAATAATGCGATGTATTCCAACCAAGACGTTGAAGTCGTATAAGAAGTTCGGGCCAGGTGTCAACAATCTTGGGTAAAATGACTTCGTCAACATCTAATGGAACAATAAATTCCGACTGTTCTAAGTTCCTATATAAGCAGTCATTGTACGTTATGGCATGGTCTCTTCGACGTTGCCATAAGGTTCTTTTGGAGTTATCTTTAATAGGAACATTAAATAGCCTAACATAACCTTCGTTCTGGTAGTGCAGAAGCACTTTTTCTGTGGCTTTTGTAACTTTATTTACATATACATCTATCATATCTACCCCAAGCATTTTATTAATTTCAAGCCATTCGATTAAGTTTTGGGATATGTCTTTGTGAAATTCCATATCTTTAACACATATGGTGAACATTCGTTTTGCTTTATAGTTTTTAGAAGGTATTAACTCAAATGCGTTGGTAGGGTCATCACAGGGCTGCATTACGACTGCAACAACTGAAGGCCCATGTAGAGTTTCTGTCAAAGGACAAGACAGAAGTAATGGTGTCTCTATTTTTAGACTTTCTAAATCCCACGTGTGATACCAAATTTCTAAAGGTTTTGCTGCAACCACTTCCACAGAATCGCTATGTGGATTCGAGGAACGAGTCTGGCAAAACAACGTGTATTGTGATGAAAAATTGCGACCTGAAAAAACAAGACCTGACATTAATAAACTAAACAGAACATGTTACAAATATTCTAGAACTAACTGTTCAAGTAATAAGTAGTAAAAAATATTGTTTCTAGGTCGTAAATGGGTGCGAGCGAATGGAAAAGTACCCGCTGTTCGTACCACGCCATCACCCATAATTCATATAAAGTAACTCCATTACTAGAAACTTATATAATAGTAATTTGTTGGAATCATTTCCCGGGTAGTTGAAGCGGTGCTTTGCAAGGAACTGTCATTAAAACGGTGCTTCAATTACAGCCCCGCCCGAGCAGGACGGGATGCCTTCGTAGTGACTATGTGGAATCAATTTCCTTTTTGTTAGAGCGTTCTTAGAAATGTGTATGTCTACAATAGAATATTTACTTTTGAGTACTTTTACTTTGTCGCTGAGATAGCAAGGTGTTGAATGCATTATTCATATGACAATGTAAATTGTTTGGTATAACTATAAACATATAGCAAAAAACTGTCAAGTTACCTATTATAGAAGACCTACACTTCGTACTTTATAATCTAAGTATGATATAAATGTATAGGGTCAAATACTCTTCGATTACTTAGTTTTATCAGGTTGTAATCTTAAACTTTTTATACTAGGGTTAATAAGAAAAAATAATCATAAAGTAATAGTATTTTACAGACCCTTTGGTACTGAACTCGTATACTTATTCGTATATGGTTGTGGTAACAAGATGATAAAATTCATTAATCAGATTATATATATCTCGTGTTTGTTTAACGATCTTTGTAAGAGTACAATAAAAAATTAGCCTCAGAAAATCTGCAGATGCACATATTTATTGCCTAGCCACTTAAGACTAAAATATCGACAAATAATCCATCCAGACTAAATTCAAAACATAAAAGTAATACTCTCAAGAAGGGCTTGTGTTTAATCCGTCTCTCATTCTTCACCACAACATGGGAGTTGGGTGGGTTTATCTTTGCCGGGAAGGAATTTACACGACGCGTACGCCTCGCCTCCAGTGACAAATGAGTGCGAGCTTATCGGCTCTCGCGCGTTGTCGCCGTCTGACCACTTTCCGTCCGCTTCTTTTGTTACTTTGATTGTTAAGTGTTACAAATATACTTTTTAAGTCGTACCAAAGAAACTGCAGACAATAGATAAGAAGAAGAATAGATAAGAATCTTACTCTCGGAAATCACTTATATAAATACAAAGAATAAACAACTCGATTACGAGTTGGAGCTTATACTCTCTTGAATCTCTTCTTGTTAAAATTTGTTTTACTTCGACTTGTTCATAGGACTTAAATACAGAGATAAAGATATTGTTTGACAGGCTAGGTGTAGTTTCCCTCTGCCCAGCACGCGCTTAACTAATTCTTGACTTCATGCCATTGCTGCAAGTTGGAGTAGGAAAATAAGTGAGAGCGACGTGGCACTACAGAATTCAAGCAAAACTTTAATGAGACATTGCACGTGATTTATGGGTGGTTCTATTTTTTATATAATAGAAGGGTCCTGTTGATTAAGTCGGGAATAAGTTCCTGTTTGTTTTATTGGGAGAGGAAATACGCACTGGCGATCGGTTATCCCGATGATAGTAATTATGGCGTTCGTTTATCAGTACTTGAGATTTTCTCAATGTCTTTATTGACTGAGATTATTTTGTTAACTCACTTTTAGTGAAATGTTGTGGATCGATAACTTGCAAGTAGGCAGTTTGTTTGCAGCGATTTTTCCATTACATAGCAGGATTTAAGTATTTTTCTTTTGTACGGGAGACTATGGTTATGTAAGAGAATTAAAGTTGATAAACATTAACTACCTATGAAAAAATGGGGACTATGCAATTTAGTGAGACTATTTCTTTACTGCACATATAACCCGTAATTTTAAAAACCATGTTTTATAAGAACTGGTGCTTATGTGTATTTAAAGGAAATTTATTTAATCGACTGACAAGCTATGGTTTGCTGTAAAAAATATAATTATGTCAATACCTAGTTGTTGGGTATAAAGGCACGGAGCGGCGCGCGTGCGGCTTTGTAACATTATTGCTGATTAAGTTTGTTTACAGAATTAAACTTTAACTTTTTAACCGAACTTTTAAACCAAAATCAGGATTTTACTTGGCATACGCTAGATAATACTGTGTGTATACGCGATCTTAACATCGGTATTATGTAGTGTGTATAAGTATGTAATTATCAATATCATAATAAGTTACTATGTCATTCAGTAATATGTTGATGGTTTAGCCTAACTGCTATCGAGTGATGTATCATTTTATGGTGCCTAAATAATAAAAGTTTTTAGTGCCCCAAGAGATTGGGGCACATTAATGCAGCCGAGATTATAACAAGATAGAAGCAAGTTATTGTCAAATTTAGGAAATATTTTCATGGAAACGACCCTTACAAATGGAGGACACAAGCAAAAGGAGCAAAAGCAATCTTATATCTACATATTTTTTGTTCAAGAAACTCGTTTTAAATAGCATTTCAAAATAGAGGTATCAGTTCTTTTAATTTAACCGTATCGTAAATCGTTGAATCGAGCGACGATATCAATTGCATGGATATGATCTGGTCAAAATGCTTACTGTATTAAAACAGAATGAAAATTTAAAATATACATGTGATTTATGAATACGATATAAAAGGACTTAGGTTGTGATGGTGTGACGTTGATGGCTACTACAGCCATGACTGACTGAAAATCTCTATTTATTTTTAGAGAAGCGTAAAGCTTTTCCACTATTTCTTTGTAAACCTATTGCTTGAAGTAAATGATAACAGACTAGTTACAGAAGCAGGAGTAGGTAAATTCAAGATCTTGACGATGTCTTGGATTCTATCGTCATATCAAAATCAATATGAAAACTCAATTGTATTGAGTGATATTTCTCAGTTGGTAAATATGTGAAAATAAACCGATTTTCTGTATTGTCTGATAGTAGCGGCTTGACTTGAAATTATTAATAATTTATTATTATTCCATGTTTCTTTCAAAGTATGTGAGACGATCGTTGAAAATTAAAGGCCTATCTGAATTACGAACATTTTTAACGTATTTATGATTATTTGAAGAGATTTGCTTGAAATTAAAATATATAGTTGCGTGTCTGTGCATCTTATGATTTGACTATATGAAATATGTTACGCTGGATATCAAGTTATGTATCGCAAGGTATTGAAATTGATAAATAGTTATGTGGCTTGAGTACAATTTTAAGGCAAACGTCTTTTCGACGTTAAAAAACTGATTATATTGTATATCATATGTCAGTGTGGTAAAAGATTAAGAATATAGAGTACCACCACCCCTTTTCATACCGTGGGTGTCGTAAGAGCCGACCAAGGGAGCAAATTACGCAGGACAACAACTTCAAAGAGAAGAGAAAATAAACGCTATACCAACCTAGCATGTCCATCCAGCGTGGTATAGTAGGCCAAAACATCCTTTCTAAGGAGAGGCCTATGTCCAGCAGTGGACTATTTTAATAAACTTTAGGCTGTTGATGACGATTGAAGATATCATATGTCATATTTACATAATATGTTAAATATCATACTCTTATAAATGTGTATGTGTGTTGTGTGTATTATAGTGCTCTGCTAGAATATGAAAGGAAAAGTTCTTCTCTACTGCTATGGACGGCTCTACAGGAGTAGAGAATAACTTTTTCGTTTCGTAGAGATCATCATCATCATCATCAACAGCCTTTAATAGTCCATTGCTGGACATAAGCCTCTCCTTAGAAAGGAGGTTTTGGCCTACTATTCGTAGAGAATCGGCGGTAAATTCCTTTTCCTTACAGTATCGATGTTTGAAGTAAAAAGATTTCCGACGTCGATAAATGTATGCCGAGCTCCTATACACATACAACACACTTAATAGCATGTATGTGAAGATTATATCTTTAAGAAGTTAAATAGTTCTAATTTTAAAATGGTTTCTTACCAGGAAACGTAGCGAGGATACGAACGTATCGCTGCGGTGAACGCTCGTCGTAATACGCAGAGTAAAGCGATACATGTGTACCGGCCACGCGCTGCCATGTCAGCGTATCGCTGTTGTGAGACCAGGTACGGTTCTGTGCATACAATTAAAAGAAAGTGGTATTATGAGTTACAAACATTAGCCAAGAAGTACTGTAAAAAAAATCATTTTTTAAAAATGTATTCAAGATTTGTGATGAGCGTTTAAATACCTAATTATAAGAATATTTGATTTGTAGCTATTTATAATAAATAAGACCACCGGTTGTGATAGATCTTTCAGTACTTGTTTGAGATGGAACTCACTCAACTCAAAAATAATTGTGAAATTTTGAATATTTAAATTTTATGTATAGAAGTTCTAAAGTGGTGTGTTTGATCATGTGGTTGATTTAAGTATCGCTTTTTATTTGCAGAAATATTATTTTCTATGAAAAGTAAAAAGTAATAGCGCTGTTAGTATTACGCTGCATTATTTAATTGATATAATAGACAAGAAATATCACTAAAAGGTAACTATTGAAAACATTTAAGGTTATGTTGATAAATTAATTTTTCGATTCTCCTCTTCTCTGTAGGACTGTTGTTTTGAAACAGTTCATGACAAATCATCATTTTGTAAATCATAATTGTATGTACGCACAGTAATCTTATGTATAAGTTGTTAGCTATTTCGAAAACATGATTTTGTATGGTTTAAGCGTATGTCCGTGTGGTGACGGATTAAGAATACAGAAAGTAACCACCCCTATTCATCCCGTGGGTGTCGTAAGAGCCGACATGAGCGACACGAGCATGTTATTTTTTAGACGTAAAAGTTTTTACTTCATGATCTTTTGGACATCTACACCTATGGCCTAAAACGTGATAAGTAGGCGTGTTACGGGATATTAAGCATTCTTCACGGAATGGGTAATAGCACTGGAACTAATCGTAATTATTTTGTTAGTAAGCCTTCGTTACGGTGCGCGTTGAAGTCTAACTTGTATGGGCTAAACGATGAAAGGTGTGGCTAATTTTGCACCGTAATTAAGAGATTAAAAGTCAATGTTACTTTGATTGACTTTGAATTGAAATTGAATATTTTTTACCTATGAGCTCATTATTCAATTTTATCTAAATAGAAGCGCGGGTCATTTGCATGATTTTAAATTAATGATACATGCATACATTATACACTCACGTCTTTCGTCCCCAAAAATAGTAGACAGAGGAATATTAAATGGCAGAATTTGAGGCTTATAATTTTAGTCCCATTTACGTAATAGGAGCCAAGCCTACTGCCGCTACCCGGTACATATATGTATTTCTAAATAAAGTAATAAAAAACTTATAAAAATATTTAAATTACACCCAGACACAACAACTGACCCTCATTACACAATATTTATTCCGGGTGGTTTTCACGACTTCCGATTCTGCAGTCAGGATCGCTAACCACTAAGCCAAGAGTCCAGTGACGATATTTTATTTATTTATTCGTTGCCCATCGAGTAGAGTAACAAAACTCATAGTGTTAGTAAATTTAATTAAATAAATTTTTGTCTGTGGTTTTGCACTGGTGATATAGATTTATCGTATTTGCACCGGCTAAAATTTATTTTTCGATCCTTCAATGACAAACCTTTTTTTCTGAACAAAAGTTACCTTATGTTAATTTTTGTACCCCTGACAACGTCTACATTATATATTCTCTCCTCTCCTCTATATTATATATTTAATGGAAAAGTAAATTGTAAGGCGTGTAAGCGCAACAAATAGTCAAATAAACATATTCGCATTTCATTTTTCTTACGAAGATAGACTGACGACGGGGCTGGTACTCACGACAACCGTATTCCATTTAATGATGAAGATAAACTTTGAATGTAGTTGTAATAAAATCCAGTTCGAAAATAGTTTAAGTACAAATATTAATTGAAACTGAGACTTAAGAACTATCATTAAAAAGCATTCTCATATTGTTGTTAAAATATATTAAAAGCCAGAAACAGGCGAGAATCTTCATTCATACGACTGCTGGATGGCTGATTCTGGATGGCGTAGTGGTTTAAGCGGTTGACTCACCGCTTCCTACTACGCCGAATATTGTGCGTTCAAACCCCACATGGGACGACACTTTGTGTGATCCACAAATTGTTGTTCTGAGTCTGGGTGTTCTTTGTGTCCGTTTCATATATCTTTGTGAAGTCCCCGCGATACAGGACATATTCCTAATGCGGGAGTTGAATGGAAGAATCGTTGAACGATTGACCGCAATCCAGGGTACAATTGCGGAATCGGTTTTTGTAGCCAACATTTTTGGTAGCTAATTTTGAACTTGATTTTTATTTCCTCGTTTGTTGTCAATTCTATAAGTTCTTCTTCCAGCTGAAGTGACATTGCTGTGTTGACATTTGAAAACGGATCCAACACTCAGTCTGGTATTTCCAAGTTCAAATTGGCCTGTTTTAAGAGTTCGTGGTAGGCCAACTGGTATACTCCGGTGAAGTCAATATGGAGGTATTCCGTTGGCAGTAGGCAAATAAGTCGTCGTTACTGCAGGATACTGATAAATTCGGAAAATTGTGAAACTCACGTCTGCCCATATTCTTTTTGTGTAGTAGCAGTTTAGCTGCGAAAGCAACAACGACATTTTTTGTTTTAATTAAATTTAGTTTATCGTCTTGCACTTGGAGATATATGTCGTTGAACAATTTATACAGGTCTGTCAAGTAATCTATATCATTTTTGATGTAATGAGCTTGTTGCGCAATTCTGTATCTTTAGTTTCCAAGAACTCTACCACAGAGTCAAACAGGTTGTAAAATCGAGTCAGACAATTGCCTCTTGATAGCCAACGAACTTCAGTATGAAACAACAAATGGTTGAAATCTTCGTCAGTAGTAACACAAAGCTGATGAAATAATCTATCATTCAAAGACCTGTTACGGATTTTATTGACTGCTCAAAGCAGTTTATTGACTGCTTTGATGACATACTGCAATGACTGAAATAGTCGTTCACTTAAGTTTCTAGCAACCAAATGTTGTCTATGAATAAAGCAATGTACAGCAAGGACATCAGGAATTTTATTTTTTAAGTATACTATGAAGCTTTTATGGCACCCTGTCATAGCCCGAGCGCCATCCGTAGCAAGTGATATAATATTTTTCAAGGGAATCTCTTTCTCATCACAAAGCTTTTCAAATGTATTGAGTATGGTTTCGTCTTATGTATCGGTCTCTAAATTTCTAGCAAACAATAGTTCTTCACATATTTTATCATACACATATTATATGTTTGTAAAGTGAACTCATAGAGCTGAATTGAGAATTGACTAGTCCTCAGAAGATTGCACAATGATCCTTCATTGTTTTCAGCCATTTCATCAATTCGTCTTTGCACAGAATTATTATTCAAAGGAATTTTTCAAATAATATCTGCGGCCGGTTTCCGAAGCACAGTAGTTATTACTTCCTTTAAAATGCCGAAAATAGTTTTGCTACACTTGGCTGAGTATTACGCTTCTTCTCTAGGTCTTGAAAATATGCTACATTCTTGTCTTTCTTATCTGGATGCATTTTGTTCAAATGATCTTGCAGTCTTGAAGGCTTCATTGCTTCATTCGAAAATGTTTTTAGACATAGAAGGTACAAAGGCGACGATGGGTTTGTGGGATTTTCAATGAATCCGAATTTAATATATTCCGCACAGTGCTGCCATCTCTTCTTTTTTACTTCCGACATTGTTTTGTTTTGAGAAATACGGAGGTTAGTGTTGAACTTAAGTACTGCTTATCTATTACGCCCGAAACCGCAAATTTAATACATAAACTCGTTTATCTCATTCGACGCTCAATCGTACTCAACAAGTAAGGACAAGTATTCTATGAACCAGCCGATTGATACAGGAATGCACAAATCGGGTTATTTAACAAAAACTTGTTAAAACATGATTGCCCGCGGTCTATTATCTATTAAAATTACTAATAACTATTAAAATGCGAAAGTGTGTCTATGGCATTTTTATTTGTTTGTTTGTTTGTGTCTACTTTCATTTAGAAACGGAGCGACCGATTGACATGATTTTTATTTTATTTATTCAATAAAACAGGACAGATATATGAACTACTCGGAGAGAAATATCGAACCGACTTTGGGCAATCTCTTAAATAATATTAGTTGATGTTCACAAGTTGTAGACGAGTGTCTAGAGCTTAGTCGGTGTCTAAAAGAGTCCTCCTAGCTAGATGAAATTACAAATCGCCCCCCGAGCCTCTACACAACGCCCCAATTTTTTTCTGTGGAAAGGCTGCTCTAGAACAATACTATTTATCTAGATGAAAGGCACCCTATATCCTTTTCTGTACAAAAATTGCTTTACTTACTTATCTTGTTCCCTTGTTGGCTTAGTTCCCTTTTGAATCCTTTAGGAATTTGTTTAAAGTCATTTAGGAATTGTAATTTTTACGTTTACTTATTTCACTAGAGTAAGTCACTACCTGCTTCACTTCTTCTCAACTTTTGGCCGCAAAAGAAACAAACAGTGTGACGCTATTTTCTCATTTATTGCAACTTCATTAATTTGCTTTAATTATCAAGATGAACTTTATAAAATCGTTTAAAAAAAAAAAAACGCCTTTCTTGTGAAAATAAAATAAAATATTGCCGCTACAATAAATTGCTTTATCAAAAGTTAGGCTAGAAAGCTTTGATGTCAGTTTAAAGCAATTATCTTGGAACATAATTGTTGTTAGTCAGCGAATATAGAACATATTCGAGTGTACGTTTTGCTCTTATTTTATTAGCAAGAACAATTTAATTCCAGTGAATTAATACATGTAGTGGTATCATTAGCACAATATCTTTTGTAAAAATAAAACTTTTAGTAATGACGGTGGTGTGAACACAGCAATAAAATCGAATTGCGTGCGGTATAGTCTCGTATCTGTAATGCTTTTACTAATAGGGTAATCGATACCAATGTGTTAAACTTAATAGTACCAGTTTTACATGGAATGAAAACATCCAATGTTTAATAGAGTAGTATTCAAAAGAAGTCGAAAGAAGAAAGAAGAATTCTTTTAAAAGTAGCGATATATATTTTTGATGAA